AAGAAATGTTTTATTCGAAATGGCAAAAGCCAAAATCCAAAAAATTTGCCACCAAAGACACAATTCATAGCCTTGCTAAACAACAGTGGCCTAACACTCCCCGTAGCAAGGTACCTAAAGAAGTGTTTTGAAACAAGACAGCAACCCCAGTGACAACCTTCTTTCACTATTTAAGTTTTGCATTTTGTTTTCTATCTATCGTAGTATCATAATTTTATACTTGCTATTATCTGTAATGTATTAGCTTAGTTTGTTTTATTTTATCTATTACTTTTTTGTAACTTTTTATTCCTTCTTAAACTTTTGTAACCATTGCCAATCCCTCCAGGGAATGTGTAAGTGTTAATAAAATTATAATTATAATATAGGTCATGACATATATTTCTGTTTATTGTATTCAACAGTATTTCAATACAGGATAGGTGCTTTGAAATTTAGTTTAAATCTGGTTCAAATTAGTCTAAACTAGTTAAGCATTATACATGTAGTATTAGCCACAGTGGCAATAACTATTTCATGATTACCAAAAAGAAGCCTTGGTATACATTAGCTTAGATTCTGCTTATATTTCGGCTGTTATTTTTATCCTTCTAATTTTGCTTATATCAAGTTTTGTACAAGTGATTTAATATTTATTGAGAGACTTTGGTTTGATGTTTCTGGATTTGGGCTATTGCTATAATCAAAGTTAGGAGAGTAGAGAACTATTTATACAGGAGATGTTCCAGTATGGAATTAATAAAATTGTTCAATTTGTATTTCAAATTTTTTTATTGGATCAGAACATATTCACCAAAAAACAATGTTGCTATGTTTCTAGGCATACAACGAACTTGAAACGAAAGATACTGTCTGATCCAAACAGCCTGCGTCCTTGAAAATCTAGTCTTATCAGCTCTTGCCAAGTCCAAAAAACAACCGGTTTTTGCCCAATCTTTGATTTTAATGTGATATCTTTAATTCAGCGCAACAAACCAAACTATTGGGACATGAATCACTCCAGTGACGAAACATCTGTGATAATAACCAAGGGTGTGAAGAACTATTTACCTTGGCGATAGCTACGGTAATTGCGACCTCCAGGGAACATATTCGTGATGTACTTCACTCTAGTGTGGGAAAAGTCAAGGATAATTAAAAATGTTGACAAAGGTCAAAAACATTGTTAGGGTAATTACTATTTAGCCACTAAGGTTTTTTGTGAATTAATGTCGATGGCTACCGAAATTGCGACCAAACCGATATCGAGGGACGACAGTGACGAACCCCAAAATGCAATTTAAAGCAAATGAACATGTGAAGCACACAAAAACTGTTTCAAAGCGTACTTCAAAGTACAGGACTTAACCTTGAGGGGAACTGAAATTACTCACTTTTGTCATAATGACTGAGGGTGGAAATCATGTTTATGTTATCAAAAAGACCTCACACATACTTTTGTGCATTTTCATTTTAGTATTCATTTAGGTCTATGTGCCGCAAGTTAGAGTGCACATATCTAAGTGGCCGTCCCTCAGCAAGTGATTTTGACCAGGCATTTTCCATGTGAAAATTACAGAACTATTGGTTTTTACATGTAGGTGTTCCTTATTGGGTGCATCACTGTTAACAATATGTACATTATATGTTGACTAGTTTTCTTGCCATATACATGTATCTTCATTATTCATAAAATTATCACATATTCTCTACCTCCGATACTGAATTATAGTTAATACTAAAGACTTCAACTTATTTTTCTATTCAGAGTTATACGCCATGCTGACTTCCGGGAGGCTTTGATTGGCTCAAGGGATAAATTCCGTTTGAATATATATGAGCATGGACAGAAAAAAATTATCGGTAAAAAGGACATTCCGGCCATTCTTATAGCATCATCAGGTGAAATAAGAAAAACACCCGAAAGAGAATTTCATTTTCAAGAAAGAGTCCACCATAGTGATTCCCAGGCTATTGATTCATTTAAAAATAGTGAGTATATTTTGAATTTGTCCAAGCTTAGCACGAACACACAAAATAATTATACTACATGTATCGGTATATGTGTGTGTGTGACTCCTGTGTGCGAAGCACACAATGGGATAGTGCGTCTGTACATCTAGTGTGTCTTTGTGTGTCTGTTCCACTGATATCTCAAGAACCAATTACCAGATTTTATTGAAACTTGGTACATATATGCTCTGCGATAATGCTCAGACCTGATTAGTTTTGCGGTGAAATTTGTGCATAATAATTACTCAATTTTCTTATTAATTAAGTAATTTTTAAGGATTTTTACTTGTTTCTCATGTACTATTGAGCAGATTTTAATGAAACTTGGTACATAGATGCTCTGGGATAATGCTCAGACCTGACTAGTTTTTGGTTAAAATCGGTGCATATTAATTATCTAATTTGTATATTAATTAACCGATACTGAGCATTTTCACTTGTTTCTCATGTACTATCAAACAGATTTTATTGAAACTTATGTCGGAGAAAGTTACTCCGAGTTATATGAAATTCAAGGAC